ATTAGCTGAAATCGTGAGTGCGTATTCAATGTTTATTACCACTACATACTTTTCATATATCTATTGATATTTTTAAATAGCTAGTGTTACGGTAGCGGTTGTAAATGTTGTCAATAATTGCTGTTTTGCTGTTGTCTATCTTACATGCACTATTTGTGTTGCCTTATTCTAGGCTGATGAAAAACATACACATGTGTCATGTAGACCTAACAAGGTAAGCATGTTACAGAGTCTGCTTACATTGCATTAATTTGTGTAGCATTACCTTAGCAGAAATATTATTTCATCCTGATGAGATTGCTTTGTAACTGCTCGTGTTTTGTTACATTACACTGCGAGATTGATGGAAACCGGTCATGAAATATGTGATGATACAATCTTTACCTTCAAGAGGATCCTTTGAAAACAACTTTACATTTTGTTTGTTGTAGTTGCATACCAGTATATGTGTTTATATTTTGTTGTACAATGCAGCAGTAAATTATTTAAAAACATATAAGATTCAACTGAACGCATACGCACGTATGTAGCTTAAAATTTATTCCCCATAAATGTACATAAAAACTTAAGAAACGAGATTAGTAAAAATTTCTCATTGAAAAAGGAATGATATGGATTGTCAAACAAGTACAGAAACAAGTTGAATCAAAACGCAAAGATTACATTTTCAAGCCTACAACTAGGAACTCTAAGAAAGTAAACAAACAAGGCTGGAAATAGTGTCTACATTATTTTCTCAAGCTGCGAATCCCTATTCTGACGTCACTAAAATTGATAATTACTGTAGACATGGAGTCAAAAATAGGGATTTGTAGCTTAAGAAAATAATGAAGACACATTAATGTTTTTAGTACCTAGTTGTAGACTTGAAAATATAATATTTGCATTTTGATTGAAGTTGTTTTTACTTTCTTGACAATTTCTATTTCCTCTTTTTAAATTATGTTTCTCCAATCTTGTGATATATATGTATAAGAACAACCAATGATTAAGTATAGAGTAATAGAAAACAAAATCATTAATTTTATTTCTACATCCTATTTTAGTTGATATCGCTATAAAAACCTCATAAATTATAATCAATCATCAATTTATGGAGGTATATTTAATTTAACTCTGTGACTTTCTGTTGTTCTTTAAAAAGGGCAGTTGTTAATATCTTTCGTCATGAAATAATTTAACTAAAGTTAAACGCAACCAAAATACAAATAATTCAAACAATGCTAGGAAGATTTGTTTATTTGTTTGGTTGCAATTAAGCACCAAGCTACACAATGGGCTATTTGTACTATGCCCACCACGGGTATCGAAACCCGGTTTCTGCCATTGTAAGTCCGTAGATATATCGCGGTGGCACTGGGGTATGCTGGGAAGAAACCACACATTGAATACCTAAAATAAAATATGATTTATCTTTAATGCTTAACATTCTTGTATGGGCTTATCTACAATTAATAGTTATAATAATGCAGTATAATCTTTACATTTCTTGTTAATGTGGGATAAGTATATGCTTCTATTGATTTTCTATTTGGTTTCATTTAGTTCACAAAGAAGAAACACCTAAATAAAAAGGGGAACTTCAATACGAGGAACATATAATTAATAGTAAAACCTTAAATAGGAGAAACGTAATTAATAGTAGGATCTGAAATACGAGAAACATTTGATTAATAAAAGGATCTTAAATAGGAGTCTTGAAAGATATAACAGATCAGTGGTAACATTGTAGCTCTACCATTATCTCTGTACAAATTGAAACCGACATTAATAGTATCAGTCCTCAATATTTTAATCAACTTTTGACATAGAAAGTTAGTGTGGCAATACTGGTTACCTGATTTTACTAAGTATTTTATGTAAGATTTGATTTTAACTTAACACTGGTGGAATCTGAAAACATAAATATACTTGAAAAATCACAAATTACAAAGAATGTTAGGAACAAGGCATAACAGTATTACAAGAAAGTAAGTTTACTCTGGTCAAATGTAATTAGCATATGTAGTTAAGTTAATATTAATTATCGTGTAACTACTTTTATCACTCAGAACATGATGTCAAAATAAACAATAATTTAGGCAAACCTAATATATATATTTTGTCTTATTTGCGATTCGTTACGTGGAAAATAAACAATAAGCAAACAGATTGTGTTAAGACTAAATCATTATGTTTCTATTTTTCAGCAAATTATTTACAAAAATATATATGTATATATTTGATTATAGTATATATACATATATATATATATCAATGAAAGTATGTCATATAACTGAACGTGCATCATAATGTGATATTTGACTAGGATATATTTGGGTCATAAACACTGCCATACTGCCATCAATGAAATTTATTGTTTTAATAAGGGGGATATTTTATCGTGAACTTACTTTTACATAAGGTTTTACGACCCTTTCTTTGTAAGATAGTGGTCTGTGCATGTAATAAATCAATGGACGTTTCAGGGAGATAACTTCATTTTAAGTTTGTGGTAAGTCGGACGTAAAAAATCACAAATTTAATTTCCTGTAGAAAAGCTAACGCTCGTATCTTACATTTTATAATCCTTTTTAGCTTAGGGTTCATCAGGTATTGAATTCAATAATGATTCCAACGCATAGAATACTAAACATACTGAATACTTTGATTATTGAAGTACTTCTACCTCTTTCGGTTCCTTAGTAATAAATGAAAATAATCACATTAAATTTTTCTTCTAGAGATGCCTCCAGAAATCCTGTAAAATATCAATATTTGCACAAATTCACACCGGAAATTGGATTAAGTATATTCTTTGTCTGTTTAGAAATTAGTATTAACATCACATTGCAAGCTCTGGTCAATTATAAAGTTAACCAGGTTAAGACTCTGAACTTCACATGCTCAAAAAACAAATTAAATATACATGTGGTTGCAGCTGTATATAAACAATAAAAAAGTTGTATATAAATACATTAAAAGGCATTAAGGACCTTTAGTTCAAATTTTATTTCAATTTAATGTTTATTATGATTCACAGACAACGTGTAATAACATACAAACGAAGATGGTTTCTTTGTTTGATAAATGTTTTAATAAAGATTTTTCTTTCAAGATTCAAGTTTGATTAAATTGTACTGAATAAAACACGTGAATTCCATTCTCGATACTTTTGTCATGAACTGATATCTATTTTCCAATGAATCAAAACTGATCTGAAGTTTCAAAGATGTCTCCCACTTAAGAATAATATGTTAAATTACCATATTATGACCTATCATTCGCGTTCCTAGTACTGAAACCATATGTTTGAAATAAGTGCTTTTATTTTTGAAAATAAGTATCTGTAATCGTAGAAAATTATTCCTGTTATTTTTTAAGGTTCAAAAATCCTAGTAACACTTCAAAACTTTTTAGATGCATGCATTGTTAATACAGGTCAAGCACAGATGAAACTAAAAATAATAGTATTAACTGGAAACTCTTTGTACATATACCGAATTTATGGCTAGTAAAAAACGCATTCAACATTCTTTAGCGTTTTCGGCAAATGTCATTTCTTTCAGTTAAAACAAGTATATCGTCTTTGATTTTCTTGTCTCATTTACATCCACAAAATATCACATTTTCTATACCAAGGTATACCTTACCAATACAAATCTAACGGTATTTCTATGTGATTAAATACAAGCGAAAAAGTTTAAATTTTCTCGTGGGCAATTTAAATATAACCATGTTAGAATTATAGTGCTTTTTATTATGTGATAAAGTAAAACTATTGTTCACTGTTACTTTTTTTAATCATGTTATGCTTTGTTATTACAAAGTTTGAGAAAACTAAAAACTTAAATTACTTTAGAAATAGAACGAAATAGATTAAAACCAAATATAAAGAAAGTGAACAAGTGATTGAAATGAAAATACATCGCGTCAGGTGTGCTACAGTAGACAATATAAACCACACTGACAATTCAAATGATACTATTTTAAAAGTTGAAAATATTCTTTAATTTGAGAGGTTACAGTTTCTACGAATTACATTAGACTTTGATTTGCTTTTCTTAGAAAAATCTATGAACTATATATTATATATACATATATATATATATATATAAACACGCAAACGCACATATATTTTATTGAGGTCAACAACTGCTGTTCCATAGGTGAAACAGCAGTAAGTCTAAGATCCCCGCAGTAGACACAACAAATAACCCAATGCGGCTTTGCTCTAAAACAAACAACCTAAATTTGTATAAACAGCAAAACTTTTCATTATTGAAATCATTATATACAGTGTTAAACAATAATTATTTGCAATGAAATTACAGCCATTTTAATTATTTCCAAATATTTCTAATGGAAATTATATAGATATATATTGCCTTTTCTATTATAATTTGCAGCACTAGGTATATATATATATATATATATACAGTCTAAATATTCGATCAACTAAAAACACCTAAGTTATTACTTGTATAGAATGAACTAGCAAAATATTGCTGACGAATGGTTTATGTTTATTTTTAGTGTAAAGTATTTGATAATTTTGACATTTTATACCTCTGCATTAGTTAGCAACGACAGATAAAATTTTGTTTTTCTCATGAAGAAAGAATGATAGTTTTTTTGTTGTTGTTGTTTATTCCCACTTGGAAAGATTAAGAGATTGAGTGTTTTTTTTTTTGACACACATAGAAGCACAGGTAGAGTTTATCAAGCACATTATTATTAGATCTAAATTATCTATAAATAAGATTTAGGTTTGATATATTATTGTTTCAATTAATAATTATGTACTAAAATGCCATTAAATAGGGGAAGTGGTATTTTCACAACACAAAATTAACTAAAAGTACACACAACTAATTGACCTATGTATCCACCAGTATTCATATATAACAAAAACAAAAGACTCTAGGCACGTTGGGGTGATAGGTGTACTTATTTTATTACATATTTATACTGACCATAACAGAAAGTGTTACTTTAAAATATTTAATTAAATGATTTACCGATCACATTTAGTGTGATGAACAGGCTCTTCTTAGGTACAGTACTGACTTGACATTCGTACTGGCCAGCATCATCTCTTTGTGGATATTTCACCTGAAGCATCCAATCGTCTCTGTCATCACGGTGTATGACTTGAAATTTATCACTACTGGAGTATATAAAGCGACCAACAGTCAGGACATGAAGGTCCTTTCTCCTAATCCATGAAACCTGAGCCAAAAATAATTAAAATGTTAATGTAGAATCTGTATAAATAAACACTAACTTATTAAAAACGTTTAATCCATTATAGGCAATAACTTGAGGGTCTCTTGAAATGAAACAAAGTTCAATAATCTGTCTCCAACAGCAGGGTTTGGAAGACAATATTATTGGGTAAAATTATGTTTCTTTGCAAAAAAAATCTTTAAAACAAAGTGGCTTAAAGTTTGATGCCGAATCCCAAAATATACTTATCATAAATATGTCACATCGACTCACTATCGATATTAGCAGATTGACATCCCGTTAAAACGTCTTATCTTAAATCCAAGACAAAAAGTGTGAAGTTCAGGTTCGCAGAAAAAATCTTATTAAACAGTTACACCTGAACTCAGTCATCTATGACAGGTGAGTATATTAATAGTTAGACACAATATGGATACTAACTTGCCTCTTGAAATCGATAATTATAATGTACATTACATGAAAATGTTTTTATCGTGCTCACAATATATTGAAGAAGTGAAATAAATGAAAAAAAAATGGGTAATATATACTAAGTACTACAGTATGGACAGAATCGCCATAATACAGTTACGTGATTCTGAATTAGAACACAATCCATATACCGGTAAGAAACCCGTAAATAAACTCGCATTTTATAAAATATGTGTAGTAAATGGGTAATATATACTAAGTACTACAGTATGGACAGAATCGCCATAATACAGTTACATGATTCTGAATTAGAACACAATCCATATACCGGTAAGGAACCCGTAAATAAACTCGCATTTTATAAAATAGGTGTAGTAAATGGGTAATATATACTAAGTAATGCAGTTAGAATGGATTTGTCATTAACATACTTACATGATTCTGCATTAGAATGGAGTCTACATACTTGGAAGGAACCCTGAATAAACTCGCAATATTTAAAGTAAGTGTAGGAAATGGTTACTACATATAATTAGTACTGTAATTAGGATGGATTAGTCATTAACACACTTACGTTATCCCGCTTTAAAAGAGAGTTAAGCATGATTGACCAATTCGTAGATCAGTATTTCTACATGGTTCATTGTCAATTACTTATGAAAATAAATAGGATTCGGTATAGTTCCAAATTAATCATGGGATACATTTATATTTTGAAACTTCTCAAATTGTAGGAGTTATTTACTAATTTTAGTAATACAAGCAGTCTTGATTTTTAGTGTGGTTATTATCATTAGCATTTATCGAATGTTACTTTTTACAAGAATATTTTTGTCCCTTAATCATAAACCAATTCGTAAAAGGTAAAAAAAAAACACAAACAATATATCACTATTAACAAGAGTATTTGATAAATTAATGAGAAATGTGTGCATTATAATTGCCTCTAAATTTTCTTATTTCTCTTGTAGAAGTAAAGGGAAAATGATGAAATGAGGATAAAATGAAATATATCAATATATAGAATGATATTGTAATGTTTGTCCATTTCTTGTCTATAAAGCTTCTGATTAGACTGATGAGACTAAAAAGTCTGGTGAATAGAAAAGTCATCGTCATGCTTTCAGTTGTGATAGCAAGTAGACTTTTGTAAAAACGTTTCTCAATATGTTAGTTACACAAGAGAAAAATAATACTGGCAGGATTTTTCTTGGACTTTGAGTAGTTGTTTATAAAGTCAAAGCACTTTCGATTACAGCCAAATGTACTATTTATGTCTTCTAAGTATATTCGTCCCCCTTTTGCCGTTTAGTTTTCTTGTTGAACTTGCCATAATATCATTTTATACTAATCTTACATGGATTACACATAACTGAAAACATGCTCATCACTTACATGGATTTATCGTATATAAGGTCAGATTACTTTTGTGGATAAACTCTTCAATACTTATCACTTCTGTACATACACTATGGACCCATTTCCCCCCTTATTACAACAATAATTTGCTGCAATTTGGAAAACTTCCAAACATGATATTTCTATGTGAAATTTTCAAAGGTGTAGCGTCATAGCCGCTTATTTGATTTTGGAGAAAATATATCCAAATTGTGGCAACAAAGATGTGTATTTTTTCATTTAAGGGGATTTTCAACAAAACCTGTCTGATAAAAGAAGTGCTTTGGATGATCGCTTATAACATTGCAATATCGTGTAACTAAAATACGATGAAAATCATATGGACTGTACAAGAAGAACATATATTGTGTATCTTCAGTATTTTTATATACTAATTATTTACATTGTATGTAATTTGACAATATTAACTGCAAACGGTCAAGTCACACTATTTAATTGTTTTCTGCCTTAAGTTGCATTTCCATATTCCTTTACATGATTTACCATAGCAATATAGCTAAAAGGTGCTTATGTTTCATCTGTCAGCAAAGTATAGGTGACTAGAAATTAAATACCTGATGTTAACTCAGTGAACGTTCTACGAAATTGTATTCTACACACGACGACAGCTACAAAAGTAACTGCTGGCGTTTTTTTTGGGGGTTTACTTTTGCTGTTACAGACCAGAAATGATAGAAGTAAAATAACTTATATCTATGTTGCAAAAATAATGTTTGGTTTGTTATGAATTTCGCGCAAAGCTACACGAGGGATATCTGCGCTAGCCGTCCCTAATTAAAAAATGAAATACTAGAGGGAAGGCAGCTAGTCATCACCACCCACCGCCAACTCTTGTACCAACAAATAGTGGGATTGACCGTCACATAATAACGCTCTCACGGCCGAAAGGGCAACCATGTTTGTGCAAAAATAAGTTTTGAAACAGTGTTTTTTTTTAGAATCATGCACCAACTATAACATACGTCATAGAGCATAAGGTAAATCCATTAATTGCAAAACAAAAACAACAATTTTAACGCTAGTAGGCGAATAAAAGATCTTATTGATTTGCAACTATAGCCCCATATCCTCAATTGTAGAGTGAAATAGCATAAAGCACAAATGCGAGCCAAAGACAGCAAAATCCACAGTACTCAAAATGTATAAGTTAGTTATACAAACAGTATCGATCTACGGTATTGAAAATAATTATGAAAATACATCGGTGATACGAAAACAAAAGTGACAAACAATGAGTTGTTGCAACTAAATGTTCAGTTTGTTATTAGTACATTATTACAGGAAATACAAAGGAAAACCAAATAAGTTGTAATTTTTTGTTGTTTACATATAAGTATATCATTGTATAATAGTAAAATGTTGTTCTAAAAGTTCTGTATTAATTCACAGAATTTATCCAAGTTGTTTGGTTGCCGTTTGGCCGTGTCAGTTTCCATTCCTACTAAATAATATTGATATCGTAATTTTGTCAAAATCAAGTACTTGTTACCAGTATTATATCGCTTCTTTTTACACCCAGGTATCGTTTCTTCACATAAGCTGTGATCACAGGCCTTGTTCCTGAAGAAACGAGACGATAGATAAGAATGTGCTTATACCTGTCAGCAGTCAGGGAGGTAACAACTTTGTACAGTTCTTCAACATAAATACCCAGGATGCAGCCTCAAGTTTCTAGATGTTGTACGTTGACCTGTTTACCATTTTCATATATGCATTCGTCTGTAAAGAGCAACTTCTTATTGCTTTGCCACAGCTTTGCTCAAAACGTTTTACGTCTGAAGTCCATTTCAGGCTTTTGTTTTGCTGAGAAATGGTTTTGAGCAATAAGGTTACTTCGCGCTAATGCGTATCGTACTCTTCTGGAGGTAACATTCACACCTGTATTTACGGTTAGGTCATTGGCAAGCTCTCTACGAGATTGTCGTATATAACGTCAAAAGAATATCCCGAGTTACTTAAAATATATTCTCAAGAGTTTTGGTTTCTACTTGGACTGATTATATAATCAACAGTACTAATATTACGAGCCATCTTCAGAATTTCTACACAACTAATACTACAACATGGAATTTCGCCTCAATTTGTTGACTGAAATATCCTTCATTAGGCGAAACTTTAATTTCTGTATTTATTTAGTGCTACCATCCTAGTGCAATAAACCATCTACTATTGGAAACAGTAGAATTGCCTAAAATGTCCTTTTAGAGAAGGCATTATGTTAATATGTGTGTGATTGGTGGAATGAAAGCAACTTATAGTGTAAACTGTTCAAACATGACTTTACTCTAGTGCAAGTTTCCATACAATATAAAATACTATCTACATTTAAACCCGTTTAATTCACTGTTTCCGTAGTTACTTCCAATACCGTATATATATAGTAGTTGATATATTTAACAATTACCAACATTAAATAACTAAAACAAATTCGACTGTATCACTCGAGGTACACGGCCAATTTATTTAAAACATTCATGATATTTTCATTTTTTATTTTAGAGTTAGCCATTGGTTTAAAACGGACGATTCAAGAAGAATGAGAGCCTTACGTGTAGGGTGATGCAGTAGAATGTAAAGTGCTGAAGCAATATATTATTATGCGTAACTAATCATCACAAGTCTAGCATATTTGATCTTTATGTGGAAAATTGTAGCATCATATTTTCTCTTTTTATCATTTTTAAAACGATAGATTTCTATAGTCTTTAAACATTTGACTTAAGCAAATTATATAGTGAAAAGTGTCTATTATGATGTATTGACATTATTTCTATTAATATTAGTTCAATCAGGTCAGCCGAATTATGAAAACTTTCACTTCCTAATATTTCAAATACTGTCAAAAGATGGCGCGAAATGCACTAACTTTTCCCAAACTTAAAGGACTACACGCATGTTTGTAGGTTTATGCATATATATAACTCTCATATTTATTACGATATTTTTGTGTCTTTTCTTTAAGAAACTAGAAAATACAAAATTTTATAAAATTATTCTCTCTCGATGTTATTATTCTATACATTGAAAACAACGTCTTCAGGTAGTTTTGATAAAATAAGTATTAATAATATACTTTTATTGATATCGATTTTTGTGTGTGGTATGAGAAGTAATAGATTCTGTACTAATGTTCACAGGATGCAGCCTTCAGT